GGGCAGGCGGGCCGCTCAGGGGCTCACCTCCAGCACGGAGAGCAGGCCACAGAAGCCAGAGCTGCTCGGCGAGGCTGCGGCGCGGAGGCTGCCAGGAGCCTCAGCGCCTCGGCACCCCCAGCCTGGCCTCACCGCATCATCCCAGGCCTCCTGCACGGAAAGGTGGGCTAGGGAGGGCAGCGTGAGCTGGAGGGAGCCCCTGCCCCCACCGCCCAGGCCATCAGAGGGCAGCATCCAGTCTGACCCGGACACTGGTTTCCAGGAACGCGGTCTCTCAATGAGCTGCATCGCCCACTGCCGCCCGCCTCCGTGGCCAGGTGACTGGTGCTGACAATCGCGTCCTCCGGCTACAGAACGTACTTCACGTCTCCCGCAGGCAGCCGTCCCGCCAGCACACAGCGTGGGCGCCTCGGAGGCCCAGAGGGTGTGAAGCCCCACACCACGCCAGGAGAACGGGCGTCACTGAGACCACGTGACAGGTCTAACCCAACAAACGCTACTTGGAAAAGTAACTTTCCAAAACATCTCCAATAATACAATGAGGGGGAAAATGCATGCTCCGCTTCCGAGCAACAAGGGTAGCTGCAGAAGACAGGAAAGCCAGCACACGCCGGCCCTGCGAGGCCCAGCTGTCCCGCTGCCGAGGGGCGGCACACACCCCCGCAGCCCCGGCACCCAGAGAAAGCGCAGGAGCCGTGGGAGGGCCCCGAAGGTGGATGGCTCAGCTCCCCACAGCAAGGTCGGGGGGCAGCAAAGCAGCCCGAGGAGTGCAGCCTCGGCTGACGGAAAGTCATGCTCTGCTGGGGAGGGCAGGCGGGAGCCTGAGCAGCTCTGAGGAGAAAGCCAGGGAAGCTGGAAGAGCCCCGAGCTGAGTGGGGTGCGCCTCCGCGTGAGGATGACGAGGAGCCACGCTCTCGTGGTCACGAGCTACGCAGAGCCACCCCGACAGGCCACGAGGGCACAGGCAGCAGCGATGTGAGATGCTGGCACCTAGTGCGCGCCTCTGGGAGGGAGGGTCCTCTGGCATGACCACTGCACAGGGGAGCAGGCTGCTGGCGCCTCGCGCCAGGCAGCCCCCGGTCAGCAGCCAGAGCAGCGCGTCCCAGCGGGGGTCGGAGGGAGCCCAACCCGCGGGCTGTGGAGCCAGGCAGTCGCTGGATGGGAGATGCAAAGCGCTCTCTGTGCCGCTGTGCAAAAATGCAGAAAGCAAAGGCCTCAGGAAGGCCCCAGCTAGCAACGGGGCCATCGGCTGAGGGTAACTGATGAGCAAGGTCTGAGGACCTCAACTTGAGCCCCACGCAGGTGCAGGCTCACTCCTGTCCTATCCTGCGGCATCCAGAGGGAAAATGCCACAGCAGCCCCATACAACAACCCAGCGCCCTCTGAAGGACAAAGGCGAAGCCGGCCAGTGTTGGCATGAAGATCTCCCACCCAGCGTTCCACCAGTCGGTCCTTACCCATTTCTGGGGGGCGGTTTTGAGCGGTCCATGAACACGGGCGTCACACCGCACAGGTCCAAGGTGCACAGAGTGGCCAGGCACGGCCAGTTTTTGCCGTACCACAGGATGGTGACAGACGCGTCGCTGATGGTCAGGTCGACGTGCTCCAGGACATGTTCTCTCCCGCTTTTCTCTCTCAGGACCAGCACCCAGCCCAAGCCCGATACTCTGGAGGACGACAAGCAGGCCCGAAACGGCAGGCTCACATCCCGCAGAACAAGCCGCCACGGCTCCTGCACACACTCGGCTCGCGCCGCTGTCACAGTTCCCACGGGCCGACGCCCGCACGCGGCCGCTCGCGGCACCGCTCTGCTTAGGCCCGTCCTGCCCGCCCGCCGCGCCCCTCTGGCTGAGCGAGCCCAGTGAGTGAGACCCGGGTCCTGCCCGGGAGGCACTGACCCGGCGGCCGGCGGCGTGTCTGGTGTCTGTTCACGCGGACAACCGAGGGGGGAGTGCAACAGGCCGTCTAGGTGGCTGCTGGCTCCTCGGACCGCAGCTCTTCCCCACCCTGCCCACAGCGCCCGAGCTCAGCGCCGAATGCTGCCAGCGTGCCAGGCCGGCCCCGCGCCCCGCGCACCTGAGCGCCTCCTTGGCGTTCCTGGGCAGGCCTGTGTAAGGGTTGACGTTCTTGAGGACCTGCGACAGCGCGGCCCGCACGGAAGCTATCTGCTTCGCGATGTATTCCTTCTTCCAGTACCCGGCCTCCCTGTCCGCCAGGGACAGCACGTTCACAGACTCGGCCGCCTTCTCCACCGAACTCACTTTCCAATTCGATCTTTTAGGCGAAAAGGCAGCTGAGTAGACTTTCCCCCAGAGAAAGCTGGAGGAAGAGGAAAGGCGTTACCCGGAGACCCGCGGGGGCCGGCGGCGGAAGCGCGCGGACTCGGGCTCGCGAGCGGCCGCCTCCCTCCCGCCGTGCGTGGGGCGCGACGCGCAGCCTGCGAAGACGCCGGGAGCCGCTCGTGCAGGGCCCAGGTCAGACGGGCCAGCTCCCGTGACTCGGGGCCACCCAGACCTGACTTCCTGGGCCCGCAACGAGGCCAGACGTGAGAAGCCGGCGAGCAGAGTGCACGGGCCAGTCCCGTCTGGCTCCGTCAAGTGTCGGCGTGCGTCTCTGATACCAGAAAGGACGCAGACGTGCAGAAGCCGGCAGACACCAACGATACACACATGCGCACCCAGCACCTGTACAAACGCGCAGAACTGTATGTAGCGTTTGCATCCCATGTCTCAGTTTTTCAACATAAGCTGTGTGCCGCAGGCCTCCGGGGAGGGAAGGAGGGAGGGAGGGCCAGGAGAGCGGCCCCCGGCCTGGCAGGGGCAGCGGTAGGCGGCGCTGGCTCTGTGCACCCGTCCAGAGCCCAGTTCTCGCCGGCTCCCCGCTCCCCACTCAGGGTCACGGAGACAGAGCGCAGAAGATGGTGCAGGGCCTCCAGCTGAGCTGCCTGCTCTGCCCAGGACTGCAGAGGCCCAGAAGTCAGCAGCCCAGGCCGCCTCTCTCGGGGGGAGAGGAGACTACTCCTGGGGAAACTGAGGCGTAGGCTTGTGTGGGAGGAAACTCACTTTCCTGACGTACAAGAGGAATGTCATGTGCTTCACCATTCACTAGCTCCGGCCACCGGCTCCCACTGAGTGCAGAGAGGGCGGACAGCAATGCCAGAGAGCAGGGGGAGACGCTGGGGCCCAGAGGCGGGTGGGGAGACAGGGAGAGGAGCGCCCCTCAGACAGGTGGGCTCGGGGCCAGGGGTGCACTAGTGGCTTCCTCGCAGTGTCCTCACGCCCAGGACAGCTTCCTGGCCCAAGTCTGCAGCAGCTTCTGGACGCACAGGCCCTTCCACAGCAAGCTTTCGCGGGGTCCCAGGGACGGCCGCGTGTCAGTAACCCAAACCCCTCGCACCAGCCCTCCCGGCGCAGGTGCGGGAACATTCGGGATCGCCGGTGTCTTCGCTGCAGCCCAGCGCCGGCTGCTCCTCAGCGGGAGGCAACGGCTGCAGGTTCTGTTTCTATGAGCTCTAGCCACACCCTTCCCGCCCACACACGTCTCCTGAGACGTTGCGCCTGTCGTGTCCGCTGGCGGCATGCAGCACATACCTCGCCAGTGCGCTGCACTGCAGCCGAGTGCCGGCCGCCATGCTGCTGGGACGAGGGTGTCCGAGCTCCGTGTTGACAGCCTTCACGCGCGGCTGGCCCACGCTGCCCACACACAGCTCTTGCGGCACAGGCCGGACTACAGAATCACCTGAGGCTGCATCATGAGCTCTGCCCGCGTCTGGGGCACAGCAAGTCCCTTCCAGCCAGCGACAGCCGCTCCCGGGGAGCTGGCACTCCGAGGACAGGCACAGGCTTCCAGCACAAGAGCACAGACCTTCCAGGCGCAGGAGTGCAGGGCTTTGAAACTAGGACATTGGACACAGTGTTTCTAAAATCTAAAATACTCCTGAAGTTGACTTTTTAAAGTGTTGGAAGCGAGCTGAAATGGTCTCTTCCATTGTTAAGGCGGCCGAGGCCCTCCCCGGTGGTGCCGCGGGGTGGACGCTGCCCTGCAACGCTCAGCCGAGCTGCGGCGGCTTCGGTGCCCGCCCCGGAGCTGACCCACTGGCCGCGGCAGACCTCTCCTGACCCGCCCGCTGCTCCCCTCAGCAGTGCACTTTGTCCATCTGCCTGTTTCGCTCCCTGCTCAGTCTCTGGTGATCTGGTGAATGCTCTCACCGCCCCGCACCTCTGGTCTGTACCCCGCTTCTGTACGCATCAATAAAAGTAAATTAAAACAAAGTAACCGAGACCCATTCTCTCCTTACTTGTCACTGGCCAGATGATAAAAGCGCCTGTTCACACATCCAGCACACAGCAGGGCCACAGCGTCCAGGTAGGAAAGAATCTTCAGCAAGATCTCTGCGGGCAGACTGGGAGGCGGGAGCAGAGAGGGCCGCGGCTCAGACCACACCAGAGGGAAACCAGCCAGACCTCGCAGACGCGCCGCGGCCCTCCCGCTCCAGGGCCGGGCTCCCCCGACACCCCCTCTGCCACCTCGCCCTGGCGCGCTCTGGGGCATCCGCACGCCGGCTCGACCTGAACCAGCTGCACACTGACTTGCTCCATCCCCACCACGGCCATGTTCACGCAGGGGGATGCACAGGCAGGGGTTTGCCCCTCCCGCGCGAGGTGGCGAGCCCCTGGGAAATAAGCGACGGGCATGCCCACTACCAGTAAGAACCCAAGATGGCCCGCAAGAGGAGAAAAGCCCCTGGTGGACAGGGAGAGCCGAATCCCGCCCGGGCTGCTCCCGCCCCCCACTGCTTCCCGCAGGGGCACAGCTCTGCCCACGCCCCCAGCTGCACAGCGCCCGGCGCCAAACGCATCCCAGCTGCCACCTGCAGGCTCGGAACTGTGCACGCCGCTGGGCTGGAGGTCAGGACGGGTGCTGAGGGGCCTGGCGGCGGGGAGAGGACCAGATGCCGCGGGACTGGTGGGGACTGGCCGCTGGAGGGGGCCGGGGGCGATGCAAAGTGGCTCCTGTGTCATAATCGTCTCCAGCCCATCTAGGTGGCGGCCAGGCCTCGGGCTCTCGTCACCGTGGGGGTCAGCTACAAGCTTGCCCTGGTGCACACAGCAGCAGATGGAGCAGGTTGCAAAGCCCGTGTGGGGAGAGGAACAAGTCTCACGGTGAGGCGGCAGGGCACAGGCATGGCAGCAGCGGGCCCCGTGCGCCGGTGCCGGCCCACCCCGGAGGCGCCCTCTTAGCGCTGCTGTGGCTTGCAGACAGAGGCGGCCCGGGCTGCGCAGAGGTGTGCAGGCACGGGGCACTCTCCCCCCAGGTCCCGTCATCGCTGACTCCGCACAAGCGAGCCGCATCTCAAGGCTACGTGTGACCTGCCAGACCGCCTGTGCCACCTTCCAGGTCTCGGCGAAGTCTGAGACACTCTCCCACGAGCCCCACCCCTCCCCACTCTCCCTCGACCTCCCATTTCACTACTCTACGTCATGACGAAAACCCGCTTATCAAACGTTCCGGAACAGCCTAAGATTCTGCGGAAGAATTAAGTGGACTCTCCGAGGAAAGCCAGTCAGGCGGCCCGTCTGACAGCACGTGGGCTGCCAGGGCACCTGAGGTGGCTCAGACGCTGCCCGGGAACTCGGCGGGGCCGCCCCCCCGCGGGAGACCTCGCAGGCAGTCAGCAGTCGGGCTTTTAAATGGTCTCTAGAGCTAGGGTCAGAAACGCTGCAGGAAACGTTTTTCTATTTTGAAGTGGTATTTCGCCATTTTTTCTAAATCAGTGGAGTGAAAATAGAGTCGGTTAAAGCAAACGTTTCTGGTAGGTGTCCAGCACCTGTCCAAGTGCCGGCCCCAGAGGGGTGCGCCCCCGCGCCCCAGGTGACGCAACAAAGGAGGGCCTCTCCAGGTACTGGGATCCTCCACTTCCCAAACAGCGGGGCCACAGCTCAATTACCACTCACGAGGGCAGCGCCCGGCCTCGCGCCACACCGGGCTACCTTCTGTGGGCTCCCACTGTCCCCCTGCTTGGGGAGGGGGCGGGAGGGCAGGGCGAGAAAGCAAAGTGGGGGCAGGAACGCAGACAGGTCTGCCCCTAAGGCCCCTGCCACAAGACATCTGCCCGTTTTCAGAGCCGTGGGACTCCCCAGGCCACACCCTGAACTCTATTTGCGCCTCATGCTCACGGGCACAAGCCTCTTGGCTCTTCCTCCCTCTAGACCACGACCCCTGTGCCTTTCCATCCCAGTTAGCAGTGCCCCGCCACCCTGCACCTCAAGCCGCAGTTCTCCACAATGAAACCAGAGCACCCCCTTGGGCTCTGCACCAGGGCCCCAAGCTGCGCGTGTGGGCAGTGCTGGCAGCCGTGGCTGGGCATTTTGCCACCCACCACCAACGGCCCCTGGGCCAGGCGGCGGACAGAGGCCAACCGTGAAAGGGGCAGCAGGGGCTCCCCAGCACGCCCCGGCCACGCCGCCCCGGCCCAGGGCTGCAGGGAGGAGCCTGGCCGGCCACTCCCCCGGGGCTGGCCCGCGGCAGGCAGTGGCCTGGGGCGTGGACTTGGTGTAGAGTGGGCGAGCAGTGCGCGGGAGCCGAGGGTGAATGGTCCGGTCGGCCACGGGACTGAAAATGGGCAGCCAGCCTTGTGGGCGGGGACCCAGGAAGGGGAGGTAAGGCCGCGCAGGGCCCGCTGGGGCCCAGACTCTCAGGCCCTCTCACAGAAGGGCTCGTCTGACTGCCGAAGAAGGAAGCAGAGAACGTGAAATGCTCTGAGGCCTGCAGGCCGGCCGCACCTGCTCGTCTGCTCTGACACCGTCAGTCCGTCGGGAATGAGCGCTGGGGGCCTGGCCTGTGTCTCAAGAGCTGCGTGTGGGTGGCGCGGGCCAGCTGCCCACGTGAAGGACTGTTAACACAGAGCCTTGGACACCCTCGTCCCAGCGAGCCGTGGTGACCGGCACTCCGGCCAGTGCTGGCCAGCACCTTCGCAGGCGACTGGCTCTGTTCTGGGGGCTGTCGCCCAGCTGTGGTCATCCAGCATCTCCTCCGGTGCTGCCTCCGTGGCTGTCCAGTCCAGAGCCCAAGCCGTCCACCCCGGCCTGCAGGCTGATGCCACAGCAGCTCAGCCACCCTGTCCAGCTGCCAGGAGGTGGGTCCCCGCCTGCTGTGTGCCAGGCAGCCAAGAGCTCCAGGCCTTCATTGGCAGGGCGGCACCACCTTGGGCACACGGCCTTCTGTGTAGGGCCTCTGGACACTGCGGACGCTGGGTGAGAGCGGCCATCTGCAGCCTTAGAAATTGTGCTCCCGTTTGTTAAACAAGCCTCACTGCTGTTCCCCGAAACCGAGGGGTCCTGCACTTGCACGTGCGGCCGAGAGGCCACACGTCCCCTCGGGCGCCCTGACAGCCAGGGCAGCCCCTCTTTCGCACGTGCCTGCTGCCCACTGCCCTCCTCTAGAGATGAGCCGAGCCAGCAAGCCAGGCACGCTCAGGCCCCAGCCGCCTCCTCAGCGGTGGAGAGCTGGGTGAATGAGGCCTCCACATCTTCCCAGGGCCCGTGAGGCCCGACTGGCCAGGGGCTCCTCTCCCCGCCCACTCCCCGCGCCCAGTGCCCAGCCCCCACACAGCCTGGCAAGCTCTGCCCACTCCCCAGCTCCCCTCGGATGTGCTCTTCGCCAGCCCTTCACCAGTTTGCAGCTCTTACTTTAATGTCCCCTCCTGAGTGACGCCGGCCTTAGCCCTCTAGCCCCGGTTCCGCAGGAGAGACCCCCCTTTTTCCTGGCGGCACACCCCAGCTTACAGTCCCTTTTCTCGTGGCCCCCCTGCTGGAGTCGGCAGGCGCCGGGGACTCGCGCCGCTCTGGGGGCCGGCGAGGACCTGCCCTTCCCCAGTTCAGTGTCAGGGCCCAGTCTGCTCCCAGAGCGCAGGGCCTAGAGCTCCCGTCGGGGCCTAAGCAAGCCTCCCTTTGCTGGCTTTTCACTTCTGGAAAACTCTCCAGCACCTACACACCCCCTCAGCTGCGCGGGGGGCCGCCGGGCCTGGGGGGCCGCCGGTGTGTTGAGGTGCTCCCGAAATGCCACCGCCGCTCAAACCCGGGGCACGTCAGCCCCCGTTTCAGACAGCAGCTTAGGAAGAGGCCTGCGCAGTGCTCGTCCTGGCCAGACCACCCAGGGCTGGCCGGCACTGGCACGCGAGTCTGCCCACGGCACGCCCGCGGGCGCTGTGAAAGGGCTCACTCCCCGCCCCTCCCTCCTTTCACAGGGGCCTGTCAACTGGAAAGTGAACAACTTTGAAGAACACTTTTTTAAAAAGAAACCTGAATCTCCTTGTCACCTTTGGAAGTTTAGCTTCATAAACGGGCCTGACAGTGACAGCGGTGGCAGGCGGGTGACTCACGTCAGCACTGTGTGCTGTGACTCCTGCCCACACGACGCTATTCTTGGAGAGCTCAAAATAGCAGCCCAGCGTCGCCCCCCCAGCGTCGACAGCACTGTGACACCCCGAGCAACCCCACCCCAGCGCTCCCCTCCCCCGGGCAGGCGCCTGCTACATACCTGTCCAGAGACACGGAGCGGGGGCTCTGGGAGGGAGTCTGGCCTCTGGCCCGCTGCTTCCGGGGTGCGCAGCCTGCGGCAAGTTTGACACCTGGCTCCTTTCTGAAAGGAAACCGGGAAGATTCAAACCAGACTGAATGCCCCTTCCCTCCTCCACAACCGTCAAGGATCCGTAAACACCGAAGATTACTCACTGAATGCGGTCTCTGCAGAGAGGGGAGGGGGCTGCGGGGAGCCAGGAGTGGCTGGGGGGAGGCCGGGGTCGCGCACGCTCGCCACTCGGGCCCTGGCGAGCTCTGGCCCTGGGACTTGGTGCCCCGTTACCAGGCGCAGCATGCATGCCGGGCGCTCCTGAGTGCACCCGACGGACGCGGGAAGGCGACGTCTCACAACGACACCTAAGGACGCCACACCCACCGTGCAACAGCCGCGTTCGGTCTGTAGGCTGGGGGTCGCACAGCGGCGGGCTTCGCCTCGGCCCGCCAGCCTTCCCACGCTCCACCCCAGCTCAGGAGACTACTTCTGCATTGGCCGCTTTCATCGTGCGCTACACAAAGTGCACTGAAGGCTCCGGTGAGGACGAGGAAGGCCGGCACGGCACAGCAGGGCGCGTCCCGGCGGGTCGTTCGGGGACTCCTAGGGCTTGCCGAGGGCCAGCCCACAGCCTGCCGCCCCCAAGAGCAGCTTTGCGGGGACCCGAACACCGGGCGCCACGGCCCCAGCCTCCCGCGACGCGAAGGCGGCCCCAGGGAGGACAGCCCAGCCCTCCGAAAGGCCTGGAAGCCGCCGCTTTCCGCCTCCGCCCAGCACCTGCACCCGGCAGGCGGCCGGGCAAGCCACAGCGCGGGTGCTTGCTCTCAGGGAAGGCTCTTGGCTTCTCCTGCCAAGCTGACCCCCTGGCTAGCCCTGTACCAACACTCAAAACACCCTGGGGGGGGGGGCAGGGCACGAGCAAGTGCAATAAGCTCTCTAGAAGGTGAAGGTCTGAGCCGAGGGGGGCTGGCCCTGCACCCCGGCTCTGGACGCCTGCACAGCCCCGACCATGCGTCCTTGACTGGCCTGCTTCCGAGCAGGGGGGCAAGGAGCTTCCCCTCCCTGGGTAGGAGTCTCTCTGGCCCGGGGAGCCCTCGGACACTAGCCGTCGTGTGCACGGCACCCCCGGGTGAGGCCGACCCCGTCCAGGTCCCGGAGGCAGCAAGTCCACCGGCGACCAGCGCTGTGCTTCTCCGCCCCGGGAGGGGCACCCAGGAAGTGTTGAATTGGCTTTCTAGCCCCGAGGACGGAGGCCAAAGCGGTCAGGCCAGCTGGGGCTCTGCACACGGGCCTGGGCCCTCCCCCTCTCATCAGGACTCGGCCTGTGTCACCAGCTTGGTACTTTTGGTGAAGCAAAGACTCTCCCCACTCTGCTGAGGAGAGAGAAAATACCTTTTCCTGGTTGCTCCAGGGCCCTATTCTGCCCTCCCAAGGCACCTCCGCCACATGGCTTAAGATAGGACACTTTCTCCTAGTGCTAGAGACCAAACGTCCAAACCCACACTCCCTGCTCCCTCCAGGCCTCCAGGGAGGCCATCCCCCACCTCCCAGTCCCCCCACGCGCCCTCCCAGCCCCGCCCGCTCAGGCCGCCCCAGTGCTGACACCAGCCAGCCTCCCTTCTCCCCGGGCGCCCTCATACGGGCTCTGGTCACATGCTATTCAGGCCCCTCATCGTCCTAGTCACATCTGCACGATCCTGCTTCCAAGCAAACCAGAAGGCTCGCGTCGCTCCCCAGCGCTCTCTCCAGACTGCACACACACAGCGCGCCCCTGCCCCACCCTCCTCAGCTCAGCCTGTCCAGCCGCTTCTACTCCCCGGGGTCTTGCTCTCTGCAGAGGGAGCTGGGGCAGGTCCCCTGCAGGAGTCTCCTGTGCCGCGACTGAGTCCCACAGCGCCAGGGAGGAGGAAGCAGGCCACAGACGCCTCTAGATGAACGCACCCCCGAGGGCAAGCAGCTTGAGCCGGCAGACCCACGCGCGTACTTGCGTTCCTCTCTTAAGAGAAAGAATAAACACGCATGAGATTTGCAAGTAAAGACGAGGTATTGCCCAGTGACCACCTGAGTCACAAGGTACAGGGGCGGAGGTTAAGTGGGGTTAAAGGATTGAGAGGCGAGTCCCACCCACCTCCTAATACTGAATATGTTGACAGTGTAACAAAGCGGGGGTGACAGTGTAACAAATCGGGGGGCCAATGCCAGGGGCCTCATACCCATCTCACCAGGAGGCTCACTCAGCTCTCAAAGGATCCAGCAACAGAACCATTCTCCTCACCAAGCACAGCCCCATAAAGATCACTGGCTGTAGGGAAAGCCACAAGCTGACGTACAGTTCAAGCTGCTTCAATTCCAGTCTTTCTCTCCTACTCCTCAGAATTGAGGTCACTGTCACTACACCATCACAAGGCTGATGTCTGTCTTCACAGATGCTCACTGATCAACCAGCACCACAGACACATATCAGCCTTATTGTGGTGATCACTTTGCAAGATAAACATCAAATGGTATTGCACAGCTGAGACGATGTTATAGTGTCAACAGCTCAATGTTTAAAAGGGACTTCGTTAAAAAAAATACTATTTCTACCATAACACTAAGGGACAGCGTCCTGCTTTGAAAGCAGGGTGAGTGGGTCGATGGCCCCCAAGTGGAACACGGCACAGCCCTGGGGACTCCAGGAAACAAACCTAAGTAGCTGTCTGGCAACAGATTCCTCTTTCATGCTAAACGTAGCCATTTGGCTTATTAGGTCCAGCATGGATGGCTGTAAGTGAAGGAGACCTAAAAGCAAAAAAAAAAAATAGCCGCAAGAATGCAACCTGTCCTGAGACTCATCCCTCCAGCTGGCAAACTAGCTGCAGGGGGGGCCAAGGTAAACTCAGCTGACCTCAGCTGTCACCAGAGGAGGGGACTTCTCAGCGGGCAGCGAGCACCGTTCGCCGGGGCAGGATCACTGGGCCTGTGAAGGCTTCCGGGGAGGGAGGCGGAGACACTCTTGGCAATCTACTCAGCGACTGCCCTCCGGACACTCACTCCACAGAGCTGCCTTCGCACACTCAGGGGCACCAGCCTGCTCTCCACACGCGGAGACCCAAGTCTGGAACACACAGAGTGGGGCAGACCCCAGCACCTGGGGGAAGGCTCCACGTGAACCTGGGGTGAAGGGGCAGCAGGTATCCAGAACACACGGCATCCCTGTCCCGGCCTGCAGAGGGCTCTGAGGAGGGAGCTGTGACCTCCCTTCCTGAAAAGCAGGCAGGCAGCTTTTAGGAATACTTGTAACAGAAAGGTGTTTGTGGGCCAGAGAGAAGACCCTACTTATACTGGTGAGTCCTCTCACAATGGGGAGTCCGCACCTCTGGCCTACACCCTAGTTCTTCTATGCATAAATAAGCATTTAAAAAAAAAGTCATAAAGTCTTAGAAAGCTAGCCCTGGCCCCAGAACAAGCACCAATTGGGAGGGCGCCCCTGGGGTACGGCAGGGGGCGCTCAGGCTACTTTTGAGTGGCGGCAGGTTCACACCTGTCCTTGCAAGGGAAGGGCGCCAGCGAGTTTCTCTGGGAGCCACTCTGGGGTGTCACAACTCCGGTGCCACGCCAAGTTGACCTTCCCCGCATAAAAAAGTGCAAGGGACGCTCTAGGGCGGGGCC